ACAAATATTTCACGAACTGTAAAGCTTGAATGTATTGTTGTAATTATAAAAATGCTAATTAAAAGATTAGAGAGCTTACAGGAGTCTTCAATTGATGTAGATTATAGTTTACTTTCTATTTTTAAATTTGCGATTCATTTATCTTTAGAAATAGACTGGCTTATTTCCCCTTTAAAAAACATTATGGATGTTATTAATAAAGAATATGATCGTGTAGAATCTAACTAATAAATTTAATAATGTATTAATTGGTTATCCTTTTTATAGTTTTATAACATGACTACACTTGTACTATCTTATAACTAATAAAAAAATGAACATTACAGCCTTACTGTTAAAATGATTAATGAATGTTTGAAAAACAAATAATTCACTGTAGGACAAGGATTATTTGAAAACTTAAACAGTAAATATGGTAAAAAATATATTGTGGTACGTTAATATATATTATTCATACAAAAAAATTCTTTGCACTGCAAAAATTTTTAGATAATACAAAAATTAATCTATTTAAGTTAAAGTTTTTAGAACTAAACATTTATTTGCGAATGGAAGATAATCTTTTCTGCACTATTTTTGGTGTACCCCCAAAAATTTTCTTCCCTTAATTTTAATGTTACGAACAGAATAATAATAAAGCAATTCTCTAATTTTTATTAGAAGAGTTAAATAAAAATAAATGATACCTTTAAATTTACAGTGTTCGTCAAAATATTTAGACCGGCAATAAAATTTACTTTTGCCAATACAATAAACATCAAATAGAAGATATGAACAAGTAAATAAATTTATAATAAAAAATTATGATATTATCGTCAATAACCACTTGCATTTTTTAATAACCAATTGTTAAAGACAATTTGTGACAAAACCCCCGATAACAACCTTTTAAGTATAATAATTGGTCGCTTTCTTTATGACAATTATTATTAAGTTTATATTAGTTAAAATATTTTGTGAAAAACTATAAATAAAAAAATTCTCATAAATTATGCTAGAAGAAAACATCTTAGGAAGGTTAAAGGAAGAGGTAAAAGTAAGTCTTTATACAATAAAGGCAAATTTTATTTTAAGGGACCGCATGGAACAGAAGGCAAAACAGTGAGCATTATAGAGAGGTACCTCGCCACTAGCCGCATTCCCCGCAAATACCCCAAGAGTTACATAATTGTTTTTATAAATTTTTTTTTAATCGACAAAATAAACTTGTTCTTTTTCAAGTCTTTCATATTTTAGATGGTTAAAAATTATTTATTTATCAAATAAAATATTTTATAAGATAATTTCAGGAGTGTAATCATCAACCTGCAACAAACATAATTATACATTAATTATGATTTTTTTGATTTTTTTCAATAAAAAATCGCATCAAAACGTTAAGACCGGTGTCAAAATTCAGTATAAAATTGAAGTATAAATAAACAAAATGTGTTTCTTTTTGAGGAATTTTGATTTTTTGGTTTTATATTACTATAGAGAGTTTATAAAAATTGATTTGGCTTTAAATTAAACGTAAAAATTCTATACTTAAAATTATAAATAGAAAGATATTCTAGAGTTAGTGTAATTTGCATATATTAATTTTTTAGTACGATATCTTGAAATATTAAAGTCTGTAAACTATATACATTAAGTATGTTTTTAAAGTTTTTTTAAAAATAAATTATTTTAGCTCCTATGAGCAAACGAAAAATTTTAACTTGCTATGACAAAGGTCTAATAGGATGCTATTTATATATCAGGTAAAAGTTATGTTCAAATTAGTGCTTAATAAGGAAAAAGTAAGACCGAAATCAGAAATTACATCACACCAAAAGAAAAATCTAAATCTACTGAAAAAAAAACAGGTAGAAAACTGGCACTTTTTTAAAAATCTTAAGAAAAATTCACAAAATGGCAACAAACAAGGTTATTTCTGTAGATAAAATTAAATTTGATCTAGATTAAAAATGTTTATAAATATGCAAAATTTCGAGCAATAAAAAATAAAAAAAATATAATTTTCAAGAAAATGAAGTAAAGCCTGGGATTAACAGAATCCCATAAATTGAAAAGGTTTGGTTTTGCTCTTGACAAGGTTTTTTGAACAGATAAATAGCATAGAGTTCTTTTTTCAGATAAAAAAATTAATTAAGATAGGCCTGAAGGTTTTAAATCCTATTGGCATCATTTAGATTATGAAGAACACTCTTACAACAAAAAAGTTCGACGTGGTGGTGGCATTATGATTTGGGCTGGTTTTTGCTTTAATCAGCAATTATTAATCCAAATAATAATTAATAAAATGAATATTTTATCACTTTGTAAAATGCTTAAAACATCTTTAAAAGCTTTTATCGAAGAGAAAACAGAATTTGATATAAATTCTAATAGCAATACCTTAATTTTTCACCAAGACAATGTTTTATGTTATATTGCTTATTCAACAAAAACATAATTTGAAAAAAAGAATATTAAGTGGGGTATTTTTGACTTGAAGACGTTTTAAAAAGTAGAGGACATTTTTAAAAAACATAAAATGCTTAAAAAAGTCACAACAGGAAGCAAACACGATAATTTCTGGTGATATTTATAATAAAGCCGAAATTTTTGAAATGAAATTTTCTACATGGAAACTATATACACTTTGCAATAAAGAGAAGTCTGGGAGCTTGAGTACTTTAGTTCCCCATATTTTAGCTTGCTGTTTAAAATTTTTTAACCCCCAAAAACAAAATCAAAATAAAGAAAGAGCGTAAAAACATAAATAGAAAGTACACATTATGTGAAATAGAAAACAAATTTAATATTAAATTTATAAGTTTTTAAAAATAAACATAAATGGTTACTTTAAAACAACTTTTTAAATACTTTAAATTCATTATTTCTTTTAAATGCAAAAAGCTCTAAAAAATAACTTGTATATCTCTCTTATTACAATATCTCATAGCCACATTCATCTTAACAGCAGCCCGGGTCCCTTTTATCGTATTAGTACGAACACCTGTAGCATTTTCTACAAAATTAATACTATGATTAACCGTACAGTGTATATAACTTTCTTTATGCAAATTGCAATAACCCTTCCAACAATTTGTATTAATAATACTGCCAAGAAGTACATATTTTTTAATCAAACTTATTAATATTTCTGATTTTCTATTTTTTAATTTCAATAAAATTATGCACTTTGCTGGTAATCATTATACCATACCTAATGCACAAACCTCTTTTACACCATGACCTCGATGGTACTTACGTTTGCCAAATTTGGGCGCTATTCCATCTTTCCACCCCCTTCATTATTGCAGGCAAATAAAATATTTATTTAAAAGATGGGTCAATTTAACCTGTGCTGCACGTTTTTTGATATACACCGTTTTAAAAAAATTTTCTTCTTATTTTTAAATGTTGCATACAGAAGAAGAATATTTAGATATTTTAGATTTTTTTAGAGACAATATAATAGCTAAGGGATGTTTAAGGTGTAAAGAAACAATTGTTTTAT